AAAAAATAAAAAAAAAATAAAAAAAGGAAGTTAAAAAAAATAAACACAACACAGAATACTGGTCCCTACCGCTAGTGTTTCTGATTCAGCAGGTGTGGGGTGAAGCTGACACCACTAGTCTAGGGACTAAACTTTGAGAACCACTCCATTAGCTCATAGAAATGATAGTTTCCTGAGGAACTTAAAATAGTTTTCTTTTATTGTCTTTCAGAGACATAGACATAGGGATAACTATGGTTTGTATATAGTTCTTATACTCAGGTCCTGACATATTTCAATCTTATCTCAGTTTTCAAATAAGTGGGTGTTTCTGGAAGGAGCTTCCTTTGGTCTATCTTCAAAGGTCTATTGAACACATGGTAAAACCAACCAACCAACCAACCAACCCAAAAAACCCTCTTCACTTCATAAAGAGACACAGCTTAAAAAGATTTCATATAATAAACTTATTTTAATAGTGCAAAAACCAACCTGCTTCTAATCAGTGAAGGAACAACTTCCAAAAAATTTTATAAAAATAGCCAATCCTTTGAACAAATACAAATGCAAATAATTAAATATTACAATTATGTAGCCAAACCCAGGAAGCAGAGATCATAATTACAAGCCAAATCATTCTTGGAGTTGGTCCATTCCAGGTTACCAAAATGCATAAAACAAAACCTCTACTTTTCAGGTTTATAGAAAAGAAATAACTCCAGTAAGAAAACTAATTTAAGTTTCATGGAAAACAGACCATATTGGTGACTTTAAAAATTTTTCAAGGAGTTCACAGAAATAAAGAACGTTTACATCCTGATTTTTATGAAAAATGAATTTTATGTTGACTTTCAAAGCTTAAAAGACCATGTCATCTTTTTCACCAATAGCTCAGAAGTAAAAGCCAATTCAAGAGCGAAGATAATATTCATGAGACCCATAGGACTTTAACCAGATCCTAAAGTATAAAGCAAAATTTTAGATGAATTAGTTTAAAAATGCAATATACTTTAGTTTAGAATTAAATATAAAAGAAACAAAAATTACCATGATTAGGATTTGACTAAAGTTTGGGTAAAAGTTTTCTCATACTTATCTATCTCACAGATAATACCGATCATTCAGCATCAGTGGATATGCTTATTTTTTTTTATGAGAAGGGTGTGGCTTCAAAAACCAATACTCACATTAAATCCATTACTACTGCCAGAACTTGACAAAATTGGTGGTTTTGAATGTGATACATTGTTTGAAGTACAATTATTTAATAGAAAGAGACCGAGAATCTTGCTGCAAAGCATCCTTCAGAAAGATGGAAACTGTCCAGACAGAAGAGTATCTCTCTATACAGCTCTATGTATTTCTATATATATCTCCCTACACATCACAAACATACAAGAAAATTAATATATTTACATATATGTACTGGGCCAAAATGAATTAACTTTCTCTATAAAATTATACTTAAGAAAACATTAATAGACATTATATAATAAAAGAAGGCAAGGCCCTCAAGAAAAGATGGCAACCATTTGAATAGCTGAGTGCTACTGTTTTTTTCTTAATATTTCTGCAATGGAGAAAAAGAAGGATGAAAAGTTTGTAGAAAGATAGATCTCTATTCCAGAAATACCTGCTAGGCAGAAGCCAGGCAACTTGAAAATCATAGTTCTATATATGAGGAAATGGCTAATGTTTTTGTCAGAGGTGACAGCTCCTCTTATACTTAATGTTACTTCTCAGGGCTTGCCCTATAGCAGAGAGCACAACTTTAATTAGAAGAAATTTCCCCCTAAGTGTTCTACTATTTAAACCTTTTGTAAAAAGAGGAGCAGGTTGATAATATGGTATTTGAGGCTGTCCATTGTTCCTGACTGCAGAAATTTAAAAACTAACCATACAAATTAACTATAACATCATCAGAAGGAATTTTATTAGGCTTCATTCTATGACCTAAAGACAAAGATTAAATAGCAATGGATACTCTGACATAGTATCATTAGGAAGTGCACTGTGCTTGGTTGTTACAGCTATAGAAATGGCAGTCCTGAAGCAGATCTTGGTAAATTTGCTTGACTACATTCTTTAGGTAGTTGTCCTCCAGTGGTACTTTAGATAGAATTGCAGTGATTTCATCGTGGCTGGAAAGAACAAAAGGTTCATTAATTTTTCTGGACACTTACGTCCATTTCATTGGAATTCATGTTTTTGGGGATGGTCTCTGAGTCTCTTAGGAAGCACAAGTAGGCATTTCTAGAAATAGCCTGCCCAATTGGAATTGAGATTCCAAAACGAGGCCAAAGAGCAATTCTCTATGAACTGTGAGGTATCTTGACTTAGCTAAAAATCTGAATTGTTGGTGTTTGCTGATGGATTTGAGGTGGGTGCATTCTAAACTCTGCCACCTTACAAACTGTCAGCAGTGTGTCTAAAAAGTCACAAAATATATGGTAGGAATGAAATATTGTTATATCTGATTACAAAGACTAATTGACAAAAGCATTATGACTACACAGCTTTTTAAGTGATTATTAAATGATTAAGCGCTTATTCTGTTTTTAAGGCCATAAAAGTTGTTTATATATGATCTGGGCTAAGCTTATACCCATTTTTTTCCTTCTTGGTTCCTGCTTTAGGTAAGAGTATTCAAAAAGTACAGCAAGTATAAAATAGACCAATGGTCTCCAGCATCCCCTGGAGCTAAAAATGAAGGTCACTGACTTTAAAAGAACAAATTTTTCAAAATGAAGTCAGAGAGAAGTGACATTTGGCACTCACTATGGGGGATTATCCATTACTGGTATATCCAATAATGGTATATGCATTATTTCTCACCACTTTGAGAGATCTTTCAAATGATATAACATAGGTAAAAAGGTAGTTAGGAGCCCTATCCTGGTGGCTCTTTACTTACCCAATGTTTCCAAGGTGATTTTGAATGGAGAAAGGTAATGGGACAGTTGGAAAATGGACTGAGAGAGGCAAAGTTATCTCAAATTTTGCAAATGCTGTAGAGCTGGAGAATAAAAGCCTCAATCTATAAAAGACAAGATCTTCAATTAAAAATACAAAACAAAAACAGAATGAAACAAATACATTTTCCTTTTATACTCATATGGAAACTTAGGTAGTACATTATTTACTTGTCCTTATCAAATGGACAATGGGTAAAAAATCTGGAACAAAGCATTATTATTAGTAGTATCATTTTCATTGTTAGTCATAAAACTCATTAAAATAAATCATTTTAATAAATTTTTGACTATCTACTGTTATGGGTTGAACTATGTCCCCTCCTGCCATCCATATGTTAAAGCCTTCGTCTCCAGCAACTCAGAATGGGACCTTATTTTGGAAATAAGGTAACTGCAGATTTAATTAATTAAGATGAGGTCCTGCTGGAGTGGGATGGTCCCCTAACCCAAAATGATTGGTGTCCTTATAAAAAGGGTACATGTGGACACAAACATGCACACAGGAAGCACATCATGTGAAGATGAAAGCAGATACTAGGATTATATATTTATAAGCCAAGGTATGCTAATGACTGCCAGCAAATCACTAGAAGTTAGGAGATAGGCATGAAACAGATTCCCCTTCACAGCCCCTTGGAAAGAACCAACCCTGCTAACATCTCGATCTCAGACTTCTAGCCTCCAGAACTGTGAAACAATAAATTGCTGTTGTTTTAAGCCACTGAGTTTGTGGTACTTTGTTATGGCAGCCCTGGGGAAATAAAATACTTACTCAGTATTAGTCACATCTATGTTCATTAGGTTATAATTTGGTCCCCATCTCTTTAAAAACTCAATTTCCTCTCCAAGGAGTCTACAATGGCTCACTACCATTGAGATTTCTTGAAGCATCTAGGAAAAATTGAGGGAAAAAAAATTATGAAAACATTTCTATTTTTAGTGGCTTTTTTATAAAGAATCCCTTGAAGTTAAGCAATTTAATATATTTATAGTTTCAGGATTAAATATATGACATTTCAGTTCTGCTTTTTGGGACATATAATTTTCCTACAAAATACTTCAATCAGATTTACCTTGGGTACTTGATGCTGTGTTGTACATTTCTTCTTCCAGGATTCCTGTTCCTCAATGTACTGAAAAATAAGCTTATGAACTAAAAGGGAGGAAGGAGGAGCTTTATCCTCTGAGGAAGGGAAAAAAAAAAAATCAAAACACGGTATTACTTATTTTCAAATATATACATAAGCTAGAAATACCTTCAAACTACTAACTGTCTAAGTATCCTCTCCATTTTATTTTCAAGCACATAAATCAACATATATATAGTGAACATAGACATTCTTTTTTTTTTTTAAAGATTTTATTTCTTTGAGAGAGAATGAGTCGGGGATAGAGGCAGAGGGAGAGGGAGAAGCAGACTCCCGGCTGATCAGGGAGCCCAACGCAGAGCTCGATCCTAGGACCCTGAGATCATGACCTGAGCCAAAGGCAGATGCTTAACTGACTGAGCCACCCAGGTGCCCCAAACATAGACATCTTATAAAAACTCAAGATTTTATCATATACGGAACAGAACTTGGTTTAGCATGGGTTTAAATATAACCTAAACAAGTTTAAATACTGCCTTTCCTTACAACCTGAGGGATCCTAAGCACACTTACTTCTTTTGAGCTACAGTTCCCTAATTTGTAAAACAAGGAATACTTACCTCAAAGTGTTGATATAAATAATACAAATGCCTGATATAGTATAAGTACTCAGAATGGTAATTTTTGAATTACGGAAATAGCTATTACTAATCATTGCTTACAATCTAGTAATAATTAAAAATATAATTTTTTTTTTTAAAGATTTCATTTATTTGACAGAGAGAGCGAGAGAGCACAAGCAGGGGGAACAGTAGAGGGAAAGGGAGAAGCAGGCTCCCTGCCAAGCAGGGAGCCCGATGCGGGGCTTGATCCCAGGACCCTGAGATCATGACCTGAGCCGAAGGCAGACGCTCAAACATCTGAGCCACCCAGGTGCCCCAAATATAATTTCTTTTAAACCCTACCCAATATTTAGAACATTACCCAAGCAATTATATGTCTAATACACATTTCTAAGGACAAATTATTATTATTATTGTTTATATTTAACTTCATATATGAAAGAGTTCTCAAGGAGCAAATTACACTTGTAAATATTCAACAAATTTTTAATGGATAAGTGTTTGGACTTACCATCTAACAGAGATTGAAAATTCAGGTCAACAATCTTCCTATAAGCCTTGTCCAGGAAAAGGAGACCAACTAGAAGAACGAGAATAAGAGTAGTACTTTTTTTTAAAAAAAATATTTTATTTATTTATTTGAGAGAGAGAGTGTGCCTGTGCAAGCAGGCAGTGGGGGGGGAGGGGCGCGGAGGGAGAGGGACAAGTAGATGCCATGCTGAGCCCACACAGGGCTCAATTTCATGACCTGAGCTGAAATCGAGTGGGATGCTTAACTGACTGAGCCACTTCCGGCACCCCATTATTTCTTTTTATTATCTGATTTTAAACTACATACAACTCAGTACTTTAGAATCCTACTTTTTCTGGGTAGCAGGGGTTTTTTTATATAAGCAGTGAAAGATGTATCTTTTTTTTTAAGATTTTATTTATTTTAGAATGAGAGAGCATGCGTGTATGAGTGGGAGGAGGGGCAGAGGGAGGAGGAGAAGCAGGATCCCTGCTGAGCAGGGAACCCGATGTGGGGCTCGATCCCAGGACCCCAAGACCTCAACCTGAGCCAAAGGCAGATGCCTAACCGATTGAGCCACCCAAGCGCCCCTAAAGGTGTATCCTTGAATCATATTATTCTTTGTGTATGGCAAACGCTCCCCCTGAAACTGCTGAACTACATTTATTGGCAAGTCTCTGAAGGAAATTTAAAGTGTAGTACATTTATTGTAAATTTATCAAGGCCTCCTCCTTGACTCCTAACTTTTGTGCAAAGATACTATTTTCAGACACCATACAGAAAAATGACTATCATCTCTTCATACCTACTATCTTTTTACAAATACAGTGAAAATGATTTATGCTTTTAGCATTACAGTAATGAGTAGCCAGGAGAGCTGCTTCCTCTTCCAAATTCTAGAGTTATCTCCTATCTCTCAAATTCGATTCTTTTTACTTTGTTGAATATTCTCTATGTATTAGTGAGACAGACAGACACAATCAATTTATATTCTCAAAAAGCTTATAACTCAGGGGATGCACAGATAATTACACTAATAAACACCAAAAACTACAATCAATGATAAGCACTATTAAGGAAAACTGCAGGAAGCAATGAGAACATATATAATAGGAGGGCAAATAGTAGAGGAAGTGGATAAAAGGAGAGTCAGGGAAAACTTTCCTGCAAAAGTGATAACTGAGTTAAGCTCTTAAGGATTATTAACAGAAGTTCATTTAGTGAAAAGGGAGTACTATGGTCTGAATGTTTGCGTCCCCCATCAAATTTATATACTGAAATCCTAATGCCCCCTGTGATGGTATTAGGAGATGGACCTTTGGAAAGCATTTATTAGGTCAGGAAGGTGGAGCCCTCATGAATGAGATTAATGCTCCTATAATAGAGAACCTAAACAGTTAGCTTGGTCTTTCAGCATGTAAGGATACAATGAGAAGTCTGCAACCTGGAAGAGGGCTCTCACCTGACCATGCTGGCACCCTGATCTTGGACTTCCAGCTTCCGGAAATATAAGAAAAAATTTCAGTTGTTCAATAACTACCCAGTTGATGGCATTTTTGTTATAAAAGTCCAAATGGACAAAGGGAAAGGGCTTCCAGGTATAAAAAACATCATTATGAAGGTCCTGAGTTAGGATGGAACATGATTGAGCATGAAAAGAACAGGACCTTTTAAGGAAATGAAAGAGGAGCACCTGGCTAGCTCAGTTGGGAAAGCATGCAACTCTTAATCTCAGGGTCATGAGTTCAGGCCCCATGTGGGTGTAGAGCCTACTTAAGAAAAAAAAAAAAAAGGAAATGAAAGAAATCCATGTGCCAAAGTGCAGAGAATAGTTTAAGATGTGGCAGGAAAGGAGGAAAAATTCAATTCATGCAAGACATTATAGGCCATAACAAATATTTTGATCATTAGTCTAAGAATATTAGGTGCATGATTCGATTTCCAACAATCACCATAGCTACAGGAAGGAAGATGAATTGGAGAGGAAAAGGAGAGGATTCAGAAAGGCCAGCTGGAATGTTATTGTAGCCATTTGGTTAGAGATGACTATTGACAGGAAACAAAGAAATGTGGATCAGTATTAAGAAATTAAAATCCCTAAGTCTTATTGATGATGAGGTATGCCTGATAAGGGATGAAGAGATATAGAGTGATTCCTAAGTTCTATTTTTTTGTTTGTTTGTTTATTTATTTTTAAAGATTTTATTTATTTATTTGACAGAGAGAGACACAGCAAGAGAGGGAACACAAGCAGGGGGAGTGGGAGAGGGAGAAGCAGGCTTCCT